TTTTCGAGCCATGTGTAAGAAAAAATGATTGAACTACATTGAAATTGCTATTCTATTGGATTTGAAAATAAAAAAATAAAATAAAATGTAAAATGAAATTGGGCAATCGAAATTACAATGATGCACTGAATACCAAATGTGCTGCACATTTTGGTGCCATATGTATAATAAATAAAGCATCTTACACATATACATGTTACCACGTGTAGACAAAATTCAATGTAGTAATGGAAATTATTTTTTTGCAAATATTTCGAAAGGGAAGACTGATTGCCGGTTATACATAGAGAAAAAAATATTACGTACATATATTATTTATATCTATTGTATGCTTAAAAATAGATTATATATCTAAAATCCATGAGGATAGTGCATTTTTGTTTTAGAAATATTTTATCTAAGTGTTTGACTTTATAGTTTAATAAAATTATAAATTAGAATTGAAGTTTTATATTTCTTCTATTTTAATCTATTTTTGAGCACAACTTATTTTTTATATATACATATATCTTTGATAATATTTACACATATATGTATGCTTAGAATATTTTCCAAATATTTAACATTGTAATAAAATTACAAATTAAAGTTTGAAAAATTTATATATATTTTCTTTATTTTTCAATATATTCTTACTTATGACAGCGAATATAAATTATCACATCTTTTGCATATATTATCGATAATATAATATATTATTTGTTTGACTAAATTTGCTAAGCTGATTCAAAACGAGAATCAATATATATCGAGCACGTTTTATTAATTCAAGGTTTAATTAATTCGCAGAAATTGGCGAGATCGATATCAATGAATTGCAGGCAAGAAAATTAGAATAAATAGAATCGTGGATACGACAATTATAATAATAAAAAAATTTTCTGGGGGACGGTTCATTGAATTTCATAGGGTCTTTGCAGGGCAACGACATAGCAATGTGAAAAAGCTCCAACAAGTGATTTTAATTCTAACGTGATTACTTTGGTAAATCCTGAACTAAACGGAGCTCGTCCTTTGTCTTTTAAAAGTTTTACTTTGTCTCATTTTAATACCAGATGAAACTATTTGAACTTTGCTGCGATTCACGTGCTGATTCTTATTGGTATTTGAAATTATTGCAAATTTAAAGTGAATTCATTTCATAGAATATAGAAAAGTGCAGACAGATTGATATGAAAAATTTTAAATATTTGTAAATTAATTTCAAGTATTAAAGATTTTTAATTTTAATTTCTAATTTTCTCTCTTTCTTATTATTTTTATTCTTGTTCTTTCATAAAAAGAATTTTAATTCTCAAATATTAAATGTAACAGAATATTTTAATGTAATTAATGTAACAGAAGTAATTTTATAAAATTTTAATTAAAAAATTGTATATCTTTATAATCTTTTTTAATCTTTCAATACTTTTTCTTACTGTAAATAAAGTGAAAATTTTAATAAAACTTTAAAAGTTGAAATAATTTGGATACAATTTTTTAATTATGAAATCAATTTTGTTGTTGAAATATAATTGAGAATATTAAAATTCCTTCATTTAATATTGAACCTCTTTTCATTTGATCGTAAAATTTTACCAATTATATGTAACAATAATTCTGATCATGTGTGTATTTTTAATAAGCTTAATAAAATTTAATCACAGAGTTGTCCTTTTAATCCGTTCTATTCAAATGTTCAAATGTTCCCAGATATAGTTGAATTATTCCAATTACTTTAATTATTAACCGAGCAAAACGCTTTAACATTCCACAAACGAGAATCAAATCTTTCAAACAGGCACACAACACGTATAATTATATCGTTAAATAATATAAAATAATATAACATATTACTTTTATTTAAAATCGTTTCTCCTAATTACTTTTTTATTAACACTTATTCGTTCACATAGTATATTTTCTATCTACATGAATAATTTTATCTCACGATTTTTTACAAATAATCTTGTTCTTATATGATCTGAAAATTGTCCACTTCATGAAAAAGCTCGTAATAGTTCGAATCTAGTTGAACAGAAATTGGAAATAGAAAAACTATGGCAACTCCAATCGTCAAACTTATTTTTCGTGGAGAACTTTGAAGAAGAAAGTTTTTAATAGCAATTAATTCAAGAAAGCAACTAAATGAAAGATGGAATTACAGTACATGTAGTGTATCAAATAATATCAATGTTTAATTGTACTTTAGATTAATATGAAACGTAATGATGTAATGTTACAAAAGGTCACCATTTATTTTAAATGAATAGAAATATCACAAATGCACAAGTGTGGATAAGTAAATGGAAAAATGGAAACTATTTCGTTTCTTTTTTCGTTTCTATTTTCTTGAGAACGGAGAAAGAAAAGAAAATCTTCTAAAGAAGATCTTTCTTTTTCATGATCCTCTCTCAAAGTTAAATTCAAGACACATTGTATAAAATAATATTCACACGCAACTTCATGATAAAGCGGAATTTATCAATAGCCCAACCGTCACCCGTAAACCAACACCAAATCCAACAATCCCTTCAGGTTTCCGTAATTCAAAATTCCATGTGACAGGATCGCCACGAAACCCGTGAGGCAACACTAAATTTAATACTTCAGAATAACCGCACGGGTTTGTGGTGCTATATCCACAAAAAAAAAAAAATACAGATCCAACTGACATAACCTCCTCGATGATGAATATACCTTACAATATACAAATGTCAACAGGCGTGCCCAACGTGCCTGAACAAAGCAGGGCATTCCAACAACCCCGAACGGTCACGCAACAAATGCAAACTGGCCCTTGTGTTTATTCGACAAATCCGCAAGGTATTCGTGTTAACAAAAGTTATTAACGATTCGTGCATGTGTGTAACGTGTTGATGTATTCATGGGAGAGATCTTTTGGGTGACGATTATCGAAAGTAATATAAAATTTGGTATATAAAGATAATTTAATTAAGGATTATTTATTAAGTTGTAAGTAATTGTAGTAATTGAAATTTATTTAACAAATTAAATTGTTTATAAATATTAATAAATATTGATTAAAATAATACGTTAATTAATAATGAAAATGCAGTATATTTTAAATAAAAAATTATTCTAGTGATTGGGAAGATATAAAATTAAATGAAATTAATAAACTATTGGAAATACTTTAAAGTATAGAAATATATTATAATATTTAAGAAAAATAAAGTATCTCAAATTTTGATTTAACTAAAAAATTGTTGCAAAATAAAGATTTGATTGAGATACAAATTAATTTGTAGAAACAAAAGTCCAAATTATCTTCTGTTTACAAAATTTAAGAAAAAATATTTATTAAAATTATTCTTCTTTGCGATGTAATCAAATGTGAAAATATGGAAACTATAATATTAAATAAGTATTGATTTTAATGTCCATATTTTTCAATATTATAATTACAAATTTATAATCATTTTTTTTTTTTGTAAGTTATTCATAACTTATCTTCTCTTCACTTACATTACCTAAATAATATAATCTTTGAAGTATATAATATTTCAAATTATCTTCATTTTCAATATTCCAAATTAACAACGTGATATTAAAATCTATAATTTCGTGTCATATTTTATATTCTCGGGATATTTTCAGAATTCGTAAAATTGAAAAATAAAATTAAAATACAAACGAATAAATTGAATAATTTACTTTAAAATTTTGATTATATTTTAACTATAATTTCAACGATCAAATATTTAAAAACTTTTGGAAATTCACGTTTCATTCTTCTGCAGATTAAATCGAAAATATTAAAATTGCAAATTTTACGCAAACATCATTGGTTATCAGATCATTCGTTTTTATTATTTACGATATTACAAATTAGATAATGTTAATAGTTTTTTAGAAACTTTGGTATTCCAAATTATCAACAATATTCCAAACTTTGTATTAAAAAATCAATTTGTTTTTTTTTTTTTTTAGCTTTTAGAATAAAATTCTAAAAGATATCCTATGAATATATTAACACCTTGTACACCATCTGTTTCGATATCTATCTGATTATCGAAAGAGATGGGATTTCAATAGCAAATATCGCTTTTGAGATCGTAAATCACGGTCGATCAGATTGGATTTAATGAAATCCTTTGAGAAACTAATGAAGGTTTTTCATTGCGGTACGCCGATACGAATTTTGCAATTTTTCAACATATTGTCATTGTCAGAGACGAGCAGTTAATTAGTTTTTTCTTTTTTAACTTGAAAAATGTTGGATTTATCTTTAAAAAATTTAATCGAGTAATATAATATATGGTTAAACACGGTATAATTTTTCATACAAGCTAAAAACTAAGAAAAATTTTAATCTTTATTTTCGATTTTCGTTTTTATATAGAATTATCTCTCTCTACAAATTTGGTTATGTATAAAAAAGCGAATATACTTTGAAAAATTTTGCGAAAAATATTGTAAACACGGATTTCGCGTCGTTTTGATCGAATCGCGTAAATACAAATTGGAATTCATATTATATTTTGAATAATTTTTTTGTTGAAAAAAAATTAATTTCAATCTATTTAATATCGATCGAGAATTGAATATTTCAGTAAAAGAAAATGTATTCGAAATTTCACATTTAAAGAAAAATCGGTTAAAACTTTTTTGAGCACGTTTCGTTTTTTTCTAATCAATCGTTCCTAAAAGAATGTTATTTTCAATACGTCAAAAGAATTTTTACGATTTACAACAATTTTCAAACTTCGCTTTCTATAAATATCCTTTTTTCGTAAAAGAATATAGAATTAACAATTTTTTAAACAGTTCCTTCGCATCATTTATATTACATTATACTATAAAAATACTTGTACTTTAAAAAAATATACGTATAATCATTCACAAAAATATTCTTTTCTTCGATTTCGATCTCGAAATACATCATCAAGTTCAACAATTCCAAACAATTCTCAAAATATTCACGAAATATTATCGACACATATTCACGACGAATTCTCTAACTATAATGCTTTGATACCTTTGCCTTTGATAATTAAAATCGGAAAAGTTCAGAATCATGCCATCGACGACGTATTTCGAGATCGATTATAAATAATCAATCCTTAACAATAAAATAATCTCGATAAAATTGTCGACACAGATCCCTTCAAGCACCCGTGCTACCAATTCCATCAAGAGGATGTGTTGATGGGGAATCAGCAGTACCAGCCGAACCCCGGACAAAACCCGAAAAGCTCTTACCTGCCAATGTTTCAAGCATATCCGAATATACCCACAAACGTACAAACACAAGCAAATTACCACACTATCCTCCCACAAAACGTTCTTGACCAGATACGCAGCTGCGTGAGCGGGGCCAGTTCCATATTTATCCTGCCGGCCAGCTGTCACCAACAATCCAGTCAAACCGTCCAAGGAAACCCAATACACCAGCAGACACCAACAGCACAATTGACGAATGTCAACCCGTCACAACCAATCTCCTATCCACCCTCCTTCTATCCCTATCCTATCCCCATGCCTATCTACAACTCGTTTGGACAAGCTCGCGTTCATTGCTCGCATTGTTGGCAAAACAGACAAGCGGCCGGCAAGGGATATCCCCACGGATGCTGCTGCCACATGCTCAAGGTAGAGGAGGAGCATCGTTGCACACCAACAGACGATGACACTATTTGCTCGAAACGGAACTGTCCAGCTTCCATAAGTCTTCAGGCATTGGCATCGCAATTTTTGACACTTCCAGGAATTATATCTTGTTGCGCTACACGTTTGATCCTGAGGAGAATACCCGGCTCGAATATAACGACCAGCATGGAGGAGACGATGGAGAAGGCCCAAATGTGTCTGAACACGCTTAACAAGGAACAGTTGCTGTCCGAAGCGAGGGGCGCGCAACAGTTGAACGCGTTGATCAATCTTCACATGACCACGAATCCACCGGCGAACATTATTCCGTTGCTCACGTTGGTGCAGGTGAAGGTGAACGTGTTGAAGGCGCAGGTGGAGAGTTTGATCAACAAGAAGGTGATGGAGTGTCAGGGATATGGGTACGAGGTGGGTTTCGTTTTGTTAAGCGATTTGTATAAAGGGCCCTATTGGATTTTAGAAAGACGGGCCTTCAGATTAAGTTAAAAAAATTATTTCTGGTTCAATTAAATTTTAGGCTTAAGTTGTAATGTAAGAAATGTCTTTGTATTTATCTATTCGAGAATTAAATTTTATATATGTATATGTATATATATATATACACATATATTTGTATAAATATATATCACTAGATCTCTCATTTAATTTGATTAATTAATCTTCATTTTACTCGTATAATAATCACTTTCAACGAGAATTCGTCGTACAAATTTAACGAAATATCATCAAAACCCGATCGATTACTGCCGAGTATCACCATAACGTTTCTTCACGAAGAGAAGCTGCGAATGATATAAAAAAACACGTCCTTTCCTCGCGAGCACCGTTCAGTTCACCAGCATCGATGTTTCCAGGTGGAAACCGCGGGCCCCATAGATCCAGCCGTGCTCTGCACCAAGACGAACGAGGAGTTGCGACATTTGCTCGCCGTCCTAAGGCAAAAGGAACCGACGAGCAACTTAACGTGAATTACTCGCCTTATAGCTCGCAAAGAGTGATCGCCGAGGGCCGTTTAATCAACGTCCGGGCGAAAATCCGGCAAGTGGAGATGGAATTCGACAGAAGGAGGAGTATCACGATACCCGTGCCACTGCCCACCCTCACCTCGAGGGCGATCCAACAATTCTCCGAGTCCAGATGCACATTCGGTATCGCGGACGCGCATCTGTTCGAGCCTTACGTGCAGGGCAAGATGTTCGAGTCGCCCGACCCGTTTTCGCGCTGTCCGCGCAGCCATAAGAAGCTGTGCCTGCAACCGCGTGAATATTACCAGGACTCGGTGTGCATAAGGCGAAACGTTAAAATAAGGGATACGTCCGACACTGGGACCGCGATGCACAAAGACACGGGGACGGGGGAGAGTGGAGGTGCGAAGGAGAAGGGGGTTGAATCGAAGTCGAGCGTGGAGATCTGCACCTGCGAGACGACCACGTCCGAGGAGAGCGTTGACGAGGATAAAAAAAAACTCCGATTAAGTATCGGCCGAAAAGGAAACGGGAGGACAAGTAGCGAGAATAGTGCGAGATATGCATCTATTTTGAAACTGCCTCCTCACATCGTTACGAGAGTCGGGGCGTGCAAGGCTGGGGGGTTGAAAGAGATGAGAAAAGAAGGAGGAGGAGGGACGGACGATGAGAGAGGGGAAGATGGTGAAATCGAGAAGGTTGGTGAAGTGAAATCGACGAAGATTGCTCCTAGCGGAGAGGCGCGTAAAATTAAGAGCGAGGTTAAAATGTTAAGGATTGAGAAGAAATCTGAAATTATTGGGCCGATTCAGGTAAAGGTTAAAAGTAGGGAAAGTGTAAAAATGTGTAAAGCCAGTAAAAGTGACGTGTTGAAGAAGAAGATGCTCGATTATAAATACATTTTTACTAAGAAACCGGAAGAAGGTGAGGAGATTGATAAAAAGAAGATATTTCATCTAATCGAGGAAAGAAGAAAAGAGAAAAGGATTACATCGGAACCAAAATTAGAATTAGATGATAGAGATGTTTCGGTTAAAGATGAACCAGTCGAAAAAACGACTAAAGCCAGTAAGACTGATATGTTGAAGAAGAAGATGCTTGATTATAAATACATTTTTACTAAGAGACCGGAAGAAGGTGAGGAGATTGATAAAAAGAAGATATTTCATCTAATCGAGGAAAGAAGAAAAGAGAAAAGGATTACATCGGAACCAAAATTAGAATTAGAAAAAGATGATGTTTACGGTTAAAGATGAACCAGTACGAAAAAACGAGTAAAGCGAGTAAGACTGATATGTTGAAGAAGATGCTCGATTATAAATACATTTTTACTAAGAAACCGGAAGAAAGTGAGAAACTAGATAAAAAGAAGATACTTGTAATCGAGGAAAGAAGAAAAGAGAAAAGGATTACATCGGAACCAAAATTAGAATTAGAAAAAGATGATGTTTCGGTTAAAGATGAACCAGTCGAAAAAAACGACTAAAGTCAGTAAGACTGATATGTTGAAGAAGAAGATACTTGATTATAAATACATTTTTTACTAAGAAACCGGAAGAGAGTGAGAAACTTGATAAAAAGAAGATACTTGTAATCGAGGAAAGAAGAAAAGAGAAAAGGATTACATCGGAACCAAAATTAGAATTAGAAAAAGATGATGTTTCGGTTAAAGATGAACCAGTCGAAAAAACGAGTAAAGCCAGTAAGACTGATATGTTGAAGAAGATGCTCGATTATAAATACATTTTTACTAAGAAACCGGAAGAAAGTGAGAAACTTGATAAAAAGAAGATACTTGTAATCGAGGAAAGAAGAAAAGAGAAAAGGATTACATCGGAACCAAAATTAGAATTAGAAAAAGATGATAGAGATGTTTCGATTAAAGATGAACCAGTCGAAAAAACGACTAAAGCTAGTGAAGTTGAAGTGTTAAAGAAACAGGTGCTTGATTGTAAATACATTTCTGTTAAAGAACCGGAAGAAGGTGAGGAGTATGATAAAAAGAAGATATTTCATGTAATCAAGGAAAGAAGAAAAGAAAGTCAAAAAAAGAAAGAAATTACATCGGAACCAAAATTAGAATTAGAAAGCATAGAAAAAGACGATACAATTGATGAGTCAAAAGATGAACCAGTCGAAAAAACGACTAAAACCAACGAGACTGATGTGTTAAAGAAGAAGGTGCTTGATTATAAATACATTTCTTTTAAGGAACCAGAAGAAAGCGAGGAATATGATAAAAAGAAGAGATGTTTCGATTAAAGATGAACCAGTCGAAAAAACGACTAAAGCTAGTGAAGTTGAAGTGTTAAAGAACAGGTGCTTGATTGTAAATACATTTCTGTTAAGAACCGGAAGAAGGTGAGGAGTATGATAAAAAGAAGATATTTCATGTAATCAAGGAAAGAAGAAAAGAAAGTCAAAAAAAGAAAGAAATTACATCTGAACCAAAATTAGAATTAGAAAGCATAGAAAAAGACGATACAATTGATGAGTCAAAAGATGAACCAGTCGAAAAAACGACTAAAACCAACGAGACTGATGTGTTAAAGAAGAAGGTGCTTGATTATAAATACATTTCTTTTAAGGAACCAGAAGAAAGCGAGGAATATGATAAAAAGAAGATGTTTCATGTAATGAAAGAAAGAAAAAAGGAGAGTACAAAAAAAGAAAGAAATTACATCGGAACCAAAATTAGAACTAGAAAGCATAGAAGAAAATGATAGAGATGTTTCAATTAAAGATGAACCAATCGAAAAAAAGAAGAAGGTGCTTGATTATAAATACATTTCTATCAAAGAACCGGAAGAAGGTGAGGAGCATGATAAAAAGAAGATATTTCATGTAATCAGAGAAAGAAAAAAGAGAGTCAAAAAAAGAAAGAAATTACATCGGATCGTACAAAATTAGAGTTGGAAAACTTAGAAGAAGGTGATATAGATGTTCCAATTAAAGATGAATCGCTCGAAAAAATGAAATTTGCTTATTTCCCATTCAAAGAACTGAAAAAATTAAAAAAATCAATTTCGCTTTCTTCGTACACTTCAGACAATGAAGTGAAGAAATTGGAAGAAGAAAATGCAAAAGATGATGAAGTTGAAAAAGATGAACGTAACGAAATCGAAAAGAAAAATGCCAAGGAAAAACATGTACAGTTCGTTTCTACGATGACCCATATAAAATATGATAAAAATTTTGGCGATTTTTATGGATGGGATATTAATGAATATTCGGTTCAAACGAGTGAAAATCGATGCAAAGAAAAGATTGAATATGATCCTTCGAAGGATGTTAGTAAAGAAAATGAAACTGAAGACGATAACGTGTATTTTGTTTCGAAAAAAGAAAATTGCTCGATTGTATCTGGTAACCAAAAATGCGAATCAATAACAACGGTCTCTACGGGTATCGAAATGAGCAATATGATTGAAAACTGTACAGTTGCTGAGAAAATGTTCCCAAAGAATTGTCGAATAAATGGTGAGTAAATATTCTAGAACGTATTATATTTATTAAAATAAGATTTTAAAATAATATATATAGATATAAAAAGTTAATAATATGAGTAATATTTAAAAAAGCTTATATTATATTGATTTTAAATATAGTAATTTTATTACACTTTTTACATTTTAAATAATATAAAAAAAATATTAGAAATACAACCAATCATTGCGATTTGTAGACGAGAAAACGGCAAATGGACTCAAGCAATTTCCACCATTGAAGTATGCACATCAAAAGATAGCAGAAACAACAAATACCAATATCTCAGATAATACGTTCCACGAAAAAGAATCGAATTCCTCCAAGATCGTTTGCGATAGAAGTAGCTCTTATCATAGTATTTCAAGAATGGAAAATAACATTGTTTCTGTGATATTCTCTAAGATTGAGAATCGATTCGCATCATTCAACTCGTTGTTAAAAAATATACCAAGTTTCAACGACATTCTATCGAATTTTCATTTCCACAAATTGTCAAGTAACACTCACGATAAAAATATTCAGCATTCGAATGGACAAATTACCAGAAATAAAAATAAAAAATCTCAGAAAGACGATTGGATTTTACTTCCCTCGAAAAGCGATCACCACATTTCCGGCGGAAATCGCATTTCGGTCGGTGAACAGTATAGTAATGTGCGTTTAGTGAAACATTCTATAATTGTGGATGAAGAAAAGAAAAATTATTTGCTTATTACGGGTTCTGTTAGTAATCAATTTCGACAATTGTTGAGAAAAGGTTTCAAACAACCGTATTATACTCGCAGAAGTATAGTGATAAGAAGTCGATTGAAAAATTCCGAAAATTCGAAACAGAAATGTGCGCATCCTTTTACGATGTTTAAACGAATTAAAAAAAATAAAATTGACGTGTCTCAGGCATCGACGTGCTACAAGCATCAGATAGAAACTAGAGAAAAATTGTTAGTCTTACCGAGAATATCGGAAGATATACAAACTTTATCTAATAACGAACATAAAGATGAATTTGTAGCGATATTTAAAAACGAAATAATGCAACATAACAGTAATTCTGATACTACTATTAACTACTCCAATGATTATTCGTCGATCAATGAAAATGAGGTAATGAACAATTTTAGTAACGTAGAAATACAAAGATAAACAAAAAGATGTAAATTTGAACGAATATCACGATTTTATTTAGCGTTTGGCAGTAAAGTATAACATATTTGGAGATTAAATGGAAAAATAATGACATAAGACAAACGAATCTCTTACAATTTTCCTTTTTTGTGCGAAATAAAAAATTCTCTTCGAACTATACCTCCCGTTGTAATACTTGTACTTTTCTGAAACATTATACACTCTCTAATCGCTGGATGTCTTTGGAAGACCCAACTATATCAATGAAAACGCAAATTTTTACTTGTATATACATAATATATGATTTACCCTCTCGATAAAAGAAAACATGAACATACACATCTCACAGTTGGAAATAATTAAAACCGGTGCAACGAATGCAGTATACCTTCTTCCATATTTTTATTAATTGTTAATGTACTTCATTTGATGCTTATTCTTCTGATGGTCAATGTACCACAATTTATATCTATTGTTAGCTGTCTATTGAGAATCTTTAGAATCTGTAGTAACAATGCGACCACACAGGTAGAACGCATGAACACCCACGATATCGTACAGTTCAGTTTTTTATCAGTTTGGAGGCCAGAATGAAAACTCTTAATATAATTCACATCATGTGCTATTGTCATATTCATCCGCATCAACGCAAAGGCATTCAATTTTTCAAACATTTCAAATTCAGATACATTCGTGTATTATAAGCTATAGTTTGTTCAAGATCAATTAATTGATCAAGATCAATTAAAAAAAAAAATAAATATCCCTTATTATAGCACGTAATATTGATTCCACTATATTTTGAAAACGAAAAACATAAATATAAAGATATAATATAAGCTTAAGCTTTGTCTTAAATATATATGAAAATAGTTGATTTGTATTTCATAAGTTTGAAAAAGAAAATATGCCTTAATTTATGTTAGTTTATCTGTTAGTAAAAAAAATGATATTGAACAATCAATAAATTTTGAACAAACTTTAGCGAATTCATTCAATTCATGAATATCGTATAACTTGTTATTCAATATGTATATACATATACAACACATACATATATATATACACATATTAAATTTCTTATAAGCTAACAAATTCATCATCAAATTTATCATAAGTAAAAAATAAAAGAATCTAACACACTGGTCACATTCATAAAAGATTAACGCTGTAATTTGTAACAAAGTTTCGCTTATATATTAAATTACACAGGATAATTATGAAATAATGTGTTTCACACCACACTATAAATACGATGCTGTTTAAAAAGTATAATATAACAAACTGCAGGGTTTCGGTATTCAACGTAAAAATATGAAAAATATCAAAGCACAGTGAGAACTGATATTCCATACGGATTATATTGGATGTGAAATATATATATATGTCGTGACATATCCACAAATCTTGGTTTTTATAATTGCAAAATATATTATAATGCAAAAAAAAAAAAAAACATGGGTCAAAAATATAACGCCATTGAACAAATTTTAGGTACTGGATTAGAGCCATATACATTATATTACATACTATAGAAGTTATAAACGGACTGACACGCTTATAAATACGCTACATATTTATTACAGCTATTCACTACTTTCAAACTAGACACGTACATTTGCGAAACAGATCCGGTATATCGTTATAAAATTATTTCTTACAAAGCTCTATTTAGTTAAGACAGTTTTTATTTCGAATATTGCAAGTAATGGAAGAATGCGAGGAACTGAGTATAATTAGCTTTGATTTTCTGATATCTGTATCTTGATAGAAATTATATATATAAATATAATTAGATATTAGAAAACAAGATATTATTAAAAGAATGTTATTTGCTCAAAATAAAAGGCATTGTGTACCAATCGTTTACAGTTTTTTTTTTTTAAATCAATATTTATTCAATGATTCAAAAATTTGTTATATTTTTTTCTATTTCGCTTGAAGCTTCCTATTATCTACGAATAAATATCATTAGTCCGTTATAACCATTGGAAAAAGTATTATTAAATAAGTCGTGGCTCCTATATTACAAAGGAAGATATAGAATAACACGAAAGGTCTATGATTTAATTATTTTAAATATATAATTATCCGATTTTTCTATATCATTGCATGGTGCAATTAAAATATGGACATTCGTATAAAATAACCATCTTAAAAATTTAAAACAAACAATATGCACAATCCATGTTAAATCTTCTAACCAATATCAATCTGTACTTGAAATATTAATTCTTATTTTCCCTTTCTGATAATCGGATATGTACAAAAGTATTTACAAATACATTTACATCGCTAATATATATTCAAATATCTCACGAGATAACTTAAATAATTGTATATAATGGTTTCAATAATTTAGTCAAAAATTAATACTTCCTATGATAAATCTTTGATTAAAAAAAAACTTATATAACTAACAAGTACTTGTAATCTACATTTGTTATAATACGATACAAATATCTCTGTGACAAATAGTTGATAATAAAAATCTAGTTATCTTTTTCTCTTCTATCGTTACATATAAGTGAAAAAATTCGAATATCCATCCTTATATAAGTTAAGTCCAAAAGATTACTTTATAATAGATATTTGTAGTGAATAATTCTTCATCTTTAAATTCAGTTCAATGTAAGGCGCTTCTTACACTTTGAAATATTTTTCGAGTCATAAAAATGACAAAAATTATTCAAAAATCACGAGATTAAACAGCAGTTTTATAAAAACTGCTGTTCTCGACTTTATAATAATGTGACTGTAAAAGAAAATACTTAAAAAAGAAAAAAAATAATAAAATATTTAAATTCTGAATATCTTTTCAAGTACTACCTGAATTTCGGATGTACAAGTTGAACTTCTTTTATTCAAGAATTACAACTTGGCCAAAGGCACGATTGATGTATGTTAATTTATATGCAAATTATTTTCATACAAGAAAAAACTAAAAATATATCTTTAAAAATAATATTAATGATAATAATATTAATAATAATAATAATAGCAATAAAAATAACAATAAATACAAGCAATGTAGATGCTACTTTTGTACAATAAAAATGTACAATAGAAAATTGTTTTTTCTAGCAAAAAGTATTTAGAGCCACTACTTTTGCCCCAGATTTAAAAAAAAGTTTCAAAAACGCTAATTCCATTTTTTTTTTCTATCTTTTCTACATTAATCTACGATGATAAGTAGCATTTCTTTTCTTTTTTTCTTTCTTTCTTTTCTTTTTTTTTTTTTTTTTTTTAATTTTACACCTTTGGTGTATTCAGCTTTCAGTTGACCCAATACAAGTTTTATATCATAAAAAGTAGGTCGTTTTTCAGGTTGTAAGTCCCATGCCTAATAAATACAATATTTATGTAATATTAGTACATAAAACAATTTCTTATAAAATCGTTTTAAAAATTTTGATACATACTTGTCTCATAATATCATAAACTTCATGCGGACAACCATCTGGTGGCTCCATTTTATAACCCTTTTCTACACATTTTACAACATCCGCTAATGGCTAAAATCAAAAAAAAAAAAAAAAAAATAAAAATCGATTAAAATAACCAATGCAAATATAACAAGAAAATAGATAAAATTATACTCACAATTCGTGGATATGGTACACGTCCAAAGGAATAAATTTCCCATAAAAGTATTCCAAAACTCCACATATCAGACTTATTTGAAAACTTCTAAAAACATAGAAATAGCAAATTGAGTATAAATTGTAAAATCGTAAAATTTTGATACTGAGCGATCGTTTTTTTTAAAAAACGATTTACATTTTGCTTTAAAGCCTCTGGTGCAGTCCATTTGATGGGAAGTTTTCCTCCTTCGAGAGAAAAATTTTCATCCCGTGCTAAACCGAAATCTGACACTTTTGCCGAATTATCCTCCGCGACGAGAACGTTTCTCGCGGCTAAATCTCTGTGTACTACGTGTCTAGATTCCAAATATGCCATACCTGCGCACGTGTCGCTGAAAAGAAACAAAATATATATTTAAAATCATTCAATTCTTTTTGACAAAACATTTATACATTTATAATGTAATGTGCTGATTTTAATAAAATTAAACAAAATAAACAGAAAATAATTAAATTGCGTACAATAATTTTTTTTATTAAATTTATCTTCTATGAAATTGACTGTTATAGGAATTGTATATGATTGATATTACTATTCATAACGATTATTCATAACCTGAAAAAATCACGTATTTTCATAAGAAATGCAGACAAACTATATATGCTAATCATTCATCTGTATCAAAGTTTTCATAGAAATCAGCACATGAAATTTAGCATGTTTCTCTAGTGAAATATAAATCCAATTCTACGTACTACGCGAAGTTGATCTGATCTTTCTTAGAAACATGCAATCTCCCTCTTGATCTCAAGTAATCCACCAGGGATCCTTTGCTCATATATTCCGTAACCAGGTACATATGTTGATTATTGAAAACAAGGCCGAGCAGTTTGACTAGATTGTCGTGGATCAACGAAGTCATCAAACTTGCTTCAGCCAGAAACCTCTGTGCCGCCTCACTATTGTCTTTCAGCATTTTCACAGCGACCCTTTCGCCTCGATAAACGCCCAATAACACGTCACCGAACTCTCCTTTCCCGATACATTCCCTCAATTCTAACTCGTGGGTCTGTATTACCCAACCGGCCTTTACGAAAGCCTTTAGATCTACACAGAAATCCTGTTTGCCTTCTTTCGGTAGGGATTTTGTCAATTGCGTGCACAATCCATCCGCATCCTGTTCATAATGCTCGACCAGCAAGGCCAAATTTTCGAAAAACTCCTCGTCGTCGATAGTCAATTGATTGTTCTTATATTTCACTCTATAGTGTTGTACACGACCCTGATAACACACGCACAGCGTATAGTCGCCGGGGAAATTCGTCGACTCCCGGACTAGGAACAGGCCGTCCTCGCGCGGCCGCAACAATCGTTCGGCAGTTTCCCTTGATATCTTCCCGTGGAACCATCTGAAACGTTCGATGATTATCAGTTGTATGATCAAACATAATCTTGATGAAATTTTGTCAAATCATAGATTTAATTACATTCATTTTTAAAATAAGAGAAATC